TTCCTTCCTTCCTTCCTTCCTTCCTTCCTTCCTTCCTTCCTTCCTTCCTTCCTTCCTTTCAAAAGGATCTCAGGTAGCCTAGGTTGGCCTCAAACTGTCTGCATAGCTGAGGATGACCTTGAACTACTGATTCCTCTGCCTCCACCTCCTACATGTATAAGGTGCTGGGGACTGAACTTGGGGTGGGGGTGGGGGTGGGGTGGGGAAGCATTCTATCCATGGAGCTACACCCTCAACCTTTGAACTTAGTGAGATTTCCTGAAAGTGTAAATACAGCTGATAGCTCCAGGAAGGCTCTTATTGGTAGTCCCCTAAAGGGTCTCTTGATTCTTTTTGTCTGTCGTCCCCCACCCCACCCCACCCCCACCCCGCAAGAAAAACCTGGATTAGCCAGTGAAACACACTTCTGAGTCCTCCCCAGAGCCCCAGGAGTCCAGGCTGAAAGACCAGAGCCTTGGGGGGGGGGGGTCTCCAGTCAGCTTACACATTTGAATGCACGCACTAGTGAGTTGTGTACAGCCCGAGAGCCCTCCCTTCGTGTACAGGAATGACTTTAGATGACTCTAACTGAGCTTTAGCACAGAGCTGTGTTTACTTTGCAGACTTTAATAACAGGTTGGCTTTTTGGGAGTGTCCCAGTGAAAGATTCAGACAAAGGTCACCATCAACCCCTTCCCTGGCAGGGCTGTTCCAGCTGGCATCTTGAGAACGGGGCAACTGAGGCTGAGATTTGGGTGTGAGACACGGTGTTTCTCAGGCGACCGAGCGATGGTGTAGTTCCCCCTCCAGATCATTGTGTGTTTGGCAGCGAGCGGATCGATCTCCTCGCCACATTCTCTTGTGGATTAGGTAACTGTGGGGAAAAGACGTAGGAAATGAAAAGCGTGGCTAAGGGCCAGCGCCATGGCTCAGCCGGCAAAAGCGCTTGTGGCACAAACCTGGCAACCTGAGTTTGATCTCTGGAACCACAGTGGACAGAGAGAACCAACTCTACACAGTTATCCCCTGACTTCCACATGACTCATGTGTGGGCTGTGGCACATGGACACCCATATTTACACACACACACACACACACACACACACACACACACGCACTAAATTTTTATAAACTGAAACGATAGTTTTTCTCAAAAATGTTTATTAAGTTTATTTTTTTAGTGTGGTGTGTGTGTGTACACACACACACACGTACGTACACACCATGGCATTCATGTGGACAGCACGTGGGCCCGGTGACTAAACGCAGGGCATCAGGATTGGTAGTAAGTACCTTTGCCTGCCGAGCCATCTCACCAATCTGTTCTCATTTTAAAGCACCCTCATGGGATCTGAGGTACCAGAGAAATTACCTGCAGATGGGAGAAATTGAAACCCAGAGAAGATAAGCACCTGCTTCGGCATCACACAGCAAATGTGTATCTGGGCTGGGACTAGAGTCCAGAGTCCTCGGGTCCTGGTTGCACCCTTCCATTATTATTGGTCTGTCTGTCGACTGTCATGGAGAATTCTTTTTTCTTTTTCATTGATTCTTCTTTTCAGAGTCTAAAAAGAGCCAAGATGAGCCAGGAAACTCTGGGAGCCCTGATTCACTTCCAAAGGCAATGCGTTTTCTGTGGCCCGCTGCATGGATTGCTGTTCCTATTAAGGTTTTCCACGTTTCGCATAAAAGCATGCAAATTGCCGCAGCAACTAAATGAAATCAGTTTCAGTATCCAGGGTTTATACACACAGAGACTCTTGCTTTCCCTTGCTCTCTTTCTCTCTCTCTTCCTGGCTCAACTCTACCCCCCTCCCCAATTCCATTAACATGCAATTTTTAAATAAAACACTTAGATGTGTATGTTGGTGAAATCTTTTAACATTTTTCTTTCTCTCAGTTTTATATTATGATCACCCGTGATGTTCTGTGATCATAAACATTTGGCAAGTTTCACAGTATATTAATATGGTAGAGTAACGGTCTCAGTGTTTCTAATGAGTCAGGGAAGGAGTGGGGAGCAGCTCGGATGAGGCAAAGGAGGCTTTTGAAAACATAGGCAGGGTGTTTCTGAGTGTACAGGCAGTGGGATATTTATGTGGCGCCGTGGGTGTTTTGAACTCTCGGGAAGCTAACAAGCTCCGCACATGAACTGGATGGAAGTCCTCCAAACGCTGGACAACATAGAGGCCTTTCAGAAGTCTGAATACAGTCCAAGTCAAATTATAGCCCAGCACAGTGGTGCGAATGAGAGGCTGGGGAGAGAGATCAGAGGAAACGACACTGGTCCAGGACCCCCAGGAGGCCAGGGCAGAGTGAGTGTGGCTTCTGACACCAGAGGTGGTTTCCTTGTTTACGAATAGCTTCTACCTAGTGGATTGGCTTTGATGGTCAAAATGAAACGATGCACATAGGGTCCCAAGCACATAAGGAACAGGCTTCTGGAGAGAGGCAGGCAGAAACTAATGTCCAGGGACCTAGAAAAGCACCCCCCCCCCCAATTGGGCAGTGAGGCAGCAGGGTTACAGCCACAGGCTTTGAAGTTAGCAGGAGTTGTGTTTAGACTTCAGCTCCAGTATTTTCTAGCTCTGTGGTTGTGGGCTGATGTGATACAGCCCAGGTGGAGCCCCTGGCTCTGGGCCTGGCATGGAGGGGGCGGTGCTCAGTAAATGCTGGCTCTTGGTTCCAGCTCTTCGAGAAAGGGGCCATGAAACCAGAGGAGGGAGGGAGGGAGGCTTAGAGGTAACACTAGCCCGGCAGATAAGAAGCAGGAAAGCAAGGTGAGCTACTGTGGGGCCTGGGTGACTTTCCTGTGGCCACTGTGGTGAATTGCCCCCAACTTGGTGGCTTGAAACAGGAGTCTATTCTCTCAAAGTTCTGGGGCCCAAATGTCTAAAAACCAGTATCATCACATTAAAAGTAAAGTGTCCCCAGGGCCATGTTCCCTCTGAGGCTGGAGGAAGAGATTTACTTTGTGTCTTTTTAAGTTTATGTTGGCTGTTGGCATTCCTTGGCTTATGTGTATGGTTCCAACCTGCATGGTTCTCTCTCTCTCTCTCTCTCTCTCTCTCTCTCTCTCTCTCTCTCTCTCTGTGTGTGTGTGTGTGTGTGTGTGTAAAATTTCTCTAATTTTCCAACCAATAAAGATATTCATGATTACACTTAGGGTTTATCTATTTTTGCCATGTCTCCATCCTTCATTGTAGATGTAACCAACCGTCTTATTAAATAAGAAACACAGAAACAATGTAAAAGAGAAAGCCGAGAAGTCAGAGCTCAGAGCTAAAATCT